ATATATATACACACACACACACACACAGAAACCAGACAAAAGTAGTGATTTTACAGTCTCATGAACTTACTAAAGACCACCACCAGTTATTAACGCTGACTCATGGCACCCACTCATTGTGAATCAGAGTAGAAGTGTATTCTACACGGTTTTCAGTGACTGGGTCTTAGAAACTAGATTGCCAGGTCTTTTCTTCTGAGTTGCTTCTGGGGGGGGACTTGAACAATCAACCTTTTTGTTTCACAGCCAAGTGCTTAACTGTTTGTGATACCTAGAAACTCCCATGGTAAAATGGTAAGTGTGTGTGTGTGGGGGGGGGAGAGCACATTTGCATGTTGTTAAGTGGCATCAAGTTGGCTCTGACTCATAGCAACCTTATATAGGGTTTTAAAGAGTAGTTGAGGGTTTGAACTGTTGACCTTTTGGTTAAGCACAGTGCTTCTCCTACAGCGCTGCACCAGGGCCCCATATTGCATGTTGTTGTTGTTATGTGACATCGATTCGATTCTGACCCATAGCAACCCTGTATAGGGCTTCCAAGGAACACAGCTGGTGAGCTGGAACCACTGACCTGGCAGTTCAAACAAGTTTGCAGTCTGAGACATTAGCTCACAGTGCCACGCTATTGCCAATTCTGTCACTGACACATGCATACGTACAGGTCCACCCACGTATGGGGCACACCAAGGCCACAAGGAAACAATAGTATGGTCACGGTCCTCGGCTCAGATCTGTGCCCGTCCCACAGTATGGATATTTCTCTGCTCTCACAACTTCCAACTTTTCCATCATGCACAGGGTTACCAATCAAGCAGAAACAAGGGCTCATATCACTTCATTGTGAGTTTCCTCACAGTTTTACTGTTTCCATGTTCTTGGAATGTTGTGAAGTGTTAATTTTCTTTGAGGTTAACTGATATTCTTTTAACTTTCCCCTCCATTTAGTGCAGTCGATTTTATCCTGTAATCTACCTGACCTTCTCACCATCTGGATCTCTGTTCCTCTGTGTTTACCTTCTTTCACATTGTAATTGTTTTGATCATAGACTGACCTCCCAGATCCTCTGAGTTTGTTCTTATATTTTGTTCTGTTCTATACTCTTTCTTCTGTCGATTTAGTTCTGAGAGGTGCTGACACATATGTCAATCTCTGGTTATTGTCTATTCTTGTTGGTTCTCAGTCCATAGAACTCCCTTTAGGATGTTTTGTAGCTCAGGGTTGGCTTTGGCAAAATTCCTTAGCTTCTGTTTATCCTGGAATGTTTTGATTACATCATCATATTTGATTGATAAAGTATTTGCAGGATAAAGGATGCTTGGTTGGCAGTTTGTTTCTTTCAGGGTTTTATGTATGTCTCCCCATTGCCTTCTTGCTTGCATGGCTTCTGCTGAGAGATCTGAGCTTAATCTGACTTGCTTGCCTTTGTATGTGACACTTCTGTTTTCCCTAGCTGCTTTCAGGAGTGCCCCCTTATCTTTGATTTTGGAGAGCTTGATTATGATATGTCTTGGTGATTTTCTTTTGGGATCTGTCCTTCCTGGGGTTCATTGAGCTTCTTTAATGTTTTATCTTTTCACTTTTCAGGATGTTAGAGAAATTTTCTTCCAGCAGTTCTTCAACTACGTCCTCTGTGGACTTGTGTGATTCTTCCTGTTCTGAAATGCCAATAATTCTTAAGTTATTCCTCTTCATGTTGTCCAACATGAATCTTAGACCTTCAGATTTTTTATCCTGTTTTCTGCATGCTCTGCTATCTTAGTGGTACTAAGAGATTTGTCTTCCAGCTCATTAGTTCTGCCTTTCATCTCTTCTATTCTACTCCTTTGCCCTTTCAGTGTATTGTGTATTTCTGATATTCTATTATTGATCGTGTGGACCTCTTTCTGTAGGTTTTGAATGGAATGGTTTCCAATGCTGTATCTATCATTTGATTGTTCCGGTAGCGCTTTCCTGACTTCTTCCTTAATTTTCTCAACTCCATTGTAAAGTGTTTTGAAACATTTTATAATCATTTTTCTGAATTCCTTCTCAGGCATTTCCAAGGCCTGCCCTCCTTCCAGAAT